AGGGGGGAGGTGGGCAGCGTGGAGATGGGGAGAGAGAAGGGTGGAGGTGAGCAGCGTGGAGACGGGGGATGGGATGGGGAGACGGGGGATGGGAAGAGGGGGATGGGGAGAGGCGTCGGTGCAGTTGGAGTCCTGCATCCTCCATGGCCCTCCTGTCAGAGGTGCTGGGCAAGGCCAGGCGGCCCTGGCCCCGGCATCCGGCCATGTCCGCTCCTCATCCCAGGGGGGTGGCAGTTGTGCTCCCCTCAAAACCGTGGAGCTGGGATGCATCTGAGCCGATCCTGGCTCCTCCAGGACCCATGTGGCCTTGGGGAGACCACGTGCCCGGGGCTGATGGGGTGTAGGGGAGAAGAGACACCTGCCACGCGCTCTTCCCACTGTTACAGAGACTCAGCAGCAGGTCAGGGGGACAGTCCAGGCTAAAGCAACCCTGGATGGGGCCTGTGTACACAGCAGGTGCTCAGTAAGGACGGACCGGTGATAGTAAAGGTGCTGGCCGCGCATTACAGGTGTCTGCTGTGCACCAGGCGCAGGCTGGTCTGTCTAGCTGTGTCACCCAGGCTGGCAATGAAGCAAGCACCGCATCAACCCCTCTGCAGGACACACTGGCTGGGGGGTAGGAGTGACCAGGTGGCTTGTCCAAGGCGTGGGTCCAGCAGCGGCCAGGCCGGGCATGGAGGGCAGCTGGCCCACGCCTGTACCACCTCCTGCAGGGGGCACCGGCCTAGCGTTCCTGGGACTCTTCTGAATGTGATCCCTCGTCACCCAGCAGACTCAACCACACAAGGGCTGCTTAGGACATTTTCTACTCTATCCAAGTCTGCTGCAGTTCCATTCGGAACAAAACCCCAGTTGACTTCACAGCTCCTCTATTTGAAAACCCAGATTCCTCAGGTGAGGAACCTCATTCAGCTCATTCAGGCAGAAGGGGGGGGCAGTGCTGCCCAAGGAGGGGTACAGAGGGCCAGGATGGAGGGTGTGGCCACAGATGAGGGGTGGAGCCAGGGCTGAGGGGCAGGGCCAAGGCAGAAGGGTGTGGCCATGAATGAGGGGTGGAGCCAGGGCTGAGGGGCAGGGCCAAGGCAGAAGGGTGTGGCCATGAATGAGGGGTGGAGCCAGGGCTGAGGGGCGGGGCCAAGGCAGAAGGGTATGAGCATGGGTGAGGGGTGTGGCCAGTGCCGAGGGGCGGGGCCAAGGCAGAAGGGCGGAGCCATGGGTGAGGGGTGTGGCCAGTGCCGAGGGGCGGGGCCGGGGCCTGGCCAGGGGCCCCACCCCACCCGCTTACCTGAGGTAGCACTGCTGCTCCTTGCCCAGCCAACCTCTGCAAGGAGCTGACCTGAGGACCGCTGACAGGCACTGCAGTGATGGCTCCCAACGCCTGAAAGGCGGACAGAGCGCTGAGAGGCGGAGGCCTAGGGCTTCCTTCTCTTACCATCTTCCCACTTGTAAACGTAAGCACGGATTAGTCATGGAAGGGCTCCGGGCGCCACCTCTGTCTGTGCACGCTGGATGGGGCCCACCCTCCCCCCCAGCGTCACTGTCCCGTGTCCACACATGCGCATGTCCCATCCCCCCTCCCCTTCTCCTCCCCACGCATAGTCTGCACCCACCCTGGGCCCGGTCATTTGCTTTATTGAGTGTGTGCTGATTGCTCAGAGGGTCTCCATGGCAGATCACACATGCACACAGATCGGATGCGCCCCTCCCCGCTCGCTCCTCCCCTCCAGCTCTCAGTGAGATGCACTGCACTTCAGCACTGTTTTCCAGCTAACGTTCTTCTCCTGCTCCACCCTCAAGAAAAATGTTCCTGCAGAAAATAATTTGGAAGCTAGAAAAAGAATAAAACAATGACCCCTGCGGAGCACCAGCTTCCCTTTATAAATCACACCTCCAGTGCTGGTCTTCCAGGTGGCCGGCACCCTGGTATTAGCTTCATGGCTTCTACACCCTCCCGAGGTGTTCCCTGGGACAGAGTTTGAGGACAGGCGTGATGGGCCAAAAGCTAGGGATATTATTTAGGGTTTCGCTACACACCCTCGTTGGGCCCGAGTCCCAGCCCTCATGTGGGGCTCTCGGGATGGGCACCCCAGCAGCAGGGCGCTGCCCCGGGACTCCAGGCCCACGCAGTAGATGTGCTTCAGAGGCTCACTGGCATGAAGTCTCCATTTGGAACCATCACTGTCCACGGTCAAAACAGAGGACAGGCTCCACACAGCCTCACGGGTAACGCACAAGCCTGTCTGAAGGGAGGGACAGCTCCCCTCCCCTAGACCAGCCAAGCCACTGGTAGCTAACAACCTGCAAGAGTCTCAAAATCAGATGCAAAAATTCTTAACAGAATGCGAGCAGATCCCTTTCCAGGAGGAGGACACTATACGTGAGCAAGCTGCGTCTGCCCCAGGATGGTAAAAATCCTTGCGCTAAGCTGTAAGGATGTACTGAAGAAGAAAAACACCCTTTTGTCTTAGTGGAGACAGAGATGTCAGAACTAATGAACGAGTGTAGCAAGGTTGTCAAGATACAGCAACAATGTACAGAAAGCCACTGTACCCTCTGTTAGTCACACCAGCACTGCACAGTAACAATGTTTGAAAATCCCATTTGTAGTAGCATTAAAAAGTAAAACCAGCAAGAAATATTGAAGGATAAATCGGACAACAGCCATAACACTTCCAAATACAGTTGAGGAAAAATTTCAAAGATCTGAATCCATGGATCAGAAAGCCCAATATCAAGATACCAATTCTCCTTCAGATCTTACAAATTTAATACAGACCTAATCAACGTCTCAGCAGACTTTGTGTTAGGTATTGACAAGATGGTTTTAAAATACATAGGGAATGATAAGGGACCTAACTGCCAAACAACCTCTGAAACCAATGTAACTAAACATCATCATTAGGAAAATACATTTAATTTCAATACTGTCACCTCAATGTAACCACAGTAAAATACCTGGACGCACCAAGACGCACTATCACACTCTGGCCAGGGGGCTGTGGAGGACAGGAAGAAAAGAAAGCCAGGCAGGGCCAATATCCCAGGATCCCCTCCAAGAGCACCCCCACTTCCTCCCTCAGGGCCACGCCCTCAGAGGCCTAATTTCTTCTCTAGGCCACACCCCTGGCGACTTCACTGCCTCCCACCTGACCAACCCTCTTAACACTGCCAGGAACTGAGGGTCAAAACTTCAGCACACCCAAACCATCGCGCCAAACACGTGCGGCACACCAAGCATAAACTATACCTCAAGGAAAATGCTAGATAAATCAATTCCCTTCTAGTTCCCCTTACGCCAGCATCTCTCCACCCCAAAACCAATCCCACCCGCCCACGAACACCCACAGCCTCAGGCCCAGGCCACAGAGAGGACGCTGGCCGGGGGGCTTCCTGCCTCTTTTCTGCCGTCTGCTCCTAAGTGTTGAAACTCTTAAGAGGCCCAGGTCCTTCCAGCGGCCCGCCGCCTCTCTGTGGGGTCCAGTCACCCACACTGAACTGGAGTTCTTTGGGAGTGAGGGTGGTGTGTGGCACCAGGTTGGTGCCCTGAGCGGCTTGGGCACCTTGCTGGTGGCAGCATCAGGACCATGTCCTCCGCATTGGCCAGTGCCATTCCGAAGCACAGCACTTAAGAGCATGGGGCAATCTTAGCGGACTGCAGGCCCCCCGAGTCCCCCAGCTCCACAGAGCCATGCCTGTGCCAGACTGACCTGTCCCCCTCTGGCCATCATGACGCAATGCACACAGCTTTTCCTCGGCCAGGGACCCCATCCGTCACTGTCACTGTGTGTACCTTTCTGGTGTGACTGTGTGCAGCCATTTGTTCCACACTGGTGCTGGTCTGTGCCACTGGCTACTTCTTTGGTGCTGTATCTATGCATCTCTCTCTTTTTTTTTAGTCGGTCACGGGGTTTGAACTCTGGGCCTGGGCGCTGTCCCTCAGCTCTTCAGCTCAAGGAGAGCGCTCTACCACTTGAGTCACAGCACCACTTCCTGTTTTATGCTGGTTCATTGGAGATAAGAGTCTCGTGGACTTTCCTGCCCGGGCTGGCTTTCCCATGATCCTCAGATCGCAGCCTCCTGAGTAGCTAGGATGACAGGCGTGAGCCGGTGGCGCCTGGCTTGTATCCGTCCATCTAATAGGTAACATATGGAGTAATTTTCAGTACCAGTAGTGAGGCTTGAACTCAGGGTCTGGGTGCTGTCCCTTAGCTTTTTTGCTTGAACCACAGCTCCACTTTTGGTTTTTTAGTTAACTTGAATTTTCCTGCCTAAACTGGCTTTGAACTGCCATCATCGTGTATCAGCTTTCTTGAGTAGCTAAGACCACAGGAGTGAGCCACTGGTGTCCAGAGCCTGGTGGCTCTACAGGTTCACTCTGGCTTGAGGCTTGGTGCTCCTTCCTGACTTGGGACACTGTGACTCAGGTCACCATCGGAGCGCACACTCGGGAGAATGGGAAGAGAAAGCCAGGAGATGTACGAACGCACAAGGTTTGCTGGGGCAGACCACCCAGGAGACAAAGGCAAGGCTTTGCTTTCCTTGGCCCAGTTACCAAGAAGGAAACAGCCCACCAGCACCACGGGTCTGCGGGTGGTCACCTGCACGAGGTCTGCGGGACAAGCCGCTTCCACTGAGAGCTGCAAAACGTCACCATTAACCGGGGGCCAGCTTCACGACTGTAATCCCAGCTACTCAGGGAGGCTGAGACCTGACTCAAAGTCAGCCAGAACAGAAAAGTCCGTGAGACTCTTATCTCCAATTAACCACCAAAACCCCACAAGTTAGCAGTATGGCTCGAGTGGTAGAGCACTAGCCATGAACACAAAAGCTTAAGGCCCTTAGTTCAAGCCTCAGTATTGGTATGTAACATACGTGTATGCACGCACACACACCTCCATGCACACACACACCTCCACACACACACACACACACACACCCCTCCAGCCTGGACTTGGAGCTTCTTGAAGCTCTTTGTGGGGGAGCCACGTATAAGCTTCTTTTGAGCACAGGGTTCCCCTGAGCCAGGCCCTTAGTAAAAGCAGGTTCTGCATCACCAGGCCCACAGGCAGGAGCCAGAGAGGGCCCCACAGTCCCCACGCCTGTCCCAAACAGTGCTGCTGGGCTGGAGAGGTCCACCTCTTCGGGGATGGCGGGTTTCCCCGCTCGGAGCATCGCCGTCGCCCTTCCCCGGCGGTGCTGAGCGGGCTCTGGACACGGTCTGTCCCTCTACGCCCAAGCGTGTGCTCCCGACCCTCAGAACATCTCAGTCACGAGTGGAAAAGGCGCGCGGTGTGGCAGGGACGCCTGTGCGGAGCCTTCGAGACGGCATCTCCCGGCCGCCTTGCAAGCACTGGGTCATTTACAGCTGTGCTTCTGTCAAGATAAATGAGCTGTCCATGACACCATTTATAGCTCTAAGCATTTTAATAGGACAAAAAGGGCCATAAAAATCAAAGATAACTTGCAGTCGTTTCTGTGTTAGTTAGCGGCGTCCCACAGGCAGCCCGGAAACACCCGGAGCCATGCAGCGCTGCGGTGCAGGGTGGCAACCTCCTGGGACGGAAGCTGGATGTGGCTTCTGGAAGATTCCTCAACTTTCCCATGGACGGGGATGGAGGGCTTGAGCCAAGAGCCGTGGCCACCCAGCACTCCTCCCCTGCCACGTGTGTCACCAGGGGCTCCTGATGCCTGGGTGCAGAGTGCTGGCCGGGCACGGGACAGGGCAGGCGTGGCTGTGGCCTGGAGGGACAGTGGGTGGCACGCACGCCAGACGCAGCAGCACGGATGGCCGAGCGCTGACCCCGCCTCCAGCGTGTGGGCACACGTCCCACCAGGGCCCAGCCAGGCCCACCTTTCCTCTTCCGAGTTTGCTTCTGTCTCCCGGCCACGCAGTGAAGGGCTGGCTCTACACGCCCTCCCACCGCGCCACCCGCACCTGCCACAGCCCCGCGTCCTGGGCCGGGACCTCCAGTGTTGTGAGCTACACCGACCAGGACCCTTTTTCCAGGGACACAAAACTCACACTGTTCTGACTGGGGACGGCACCAGGGCCTTCCAGAACACACTCCTCATCTGCTTACCTGCCCTGTCCCCTCTAGAGGGCAGACAAGCAAGAGGGAGCAGAAATGCCCCGGCAGCAGCCCAGGCCGCCTGGGTCACCCGGCACCTGTCTGTGTCCAGTCTGCAGCCCAGGCCGCCTGGGTCACCCGGCACCTGTCTGTGTCCAGTCTGCAGCCTGCCCTGGTCCCGAGTCAGAGCCAGACTGAACTGCTGGGGGAGGGGGCGGTGTCCGCCGACCTGCCTGTCTCACCGCTGTGAGTTCCTGCTCACAGCTTGGCCGTCTGCCGGGCCCACAGCACCAGGGTGCATTACCCCTGCCCTGCGTGCCCACCTGACAGCTCGACTTCCTACCAGCCCTCTGCTCTGGCCCTCCGCGGCTCCTGACAACCAGCCTGCTTAGGGCCTCACCCCCTCCGGGGCTGCAGCTGTCTGCACTGGCCGGTGCCCCCAGATGGATGTCCCCTGGGGATCTCATTTGGCAAACACAGAGCTGCACAGTGGCTGGCCGGCAGAGGGCAGCACTGGGGGTACGGGTGAGGTTCCCACGGAGCCAATACTGAGCCGAGTGACGGCCGGGTAAGCCATGGGCAGAAAGCAGATTCCTTCACACCTAGAGTCACTGCACCCTGTCATGCCCAGCACTGGCCAGGCCACCTGCCCCCACCACCCAGCCCCCAAGCCAAACCCGGCCCTGAGATCCACGTAGACACAGAGAGCAGCGGCCACACTGGGCAGAGCCGGCACTGGCCTTCGGTATGGGCCCAGAGCCCCTGCATACCAGCTGCCGTCAGGGCCCCGGGCAGCCTGGCCCAGCATCCTGGAGAGAGACACAGCAGTGCGGCAGACCGTGAGAGAGGCTGCCTGACCAGGACACGGCCTCCTGACTGCAGCGGGCCGTTCCCTCAGGCTCGGGTCACTCTCTTCCTCACCCTTCTTCAAGGGACATGTTCTGCGGAGCCGCCCTGAGCACCCACCATCAGATTTCTCCAGATACGATGCTGCCCAGTCTCGGGGCCTTTGCACTGACCGCAGCCCTGCCCCACTGCTTTCCTAGGACATGGTGTTGTGGGCGTCACAACTGAAGCTTTGTCCTGCTCCTCGCAAGGCCCTCAACCCCCAAACGCCCCCTCACTCCTCCCCAGGTCCATGCTGGACAGGCTCCTGGCCTGGAAACAGAATGCGCAGCTCACCAAGCCACAGATGGAGACGGAGCTGGGCAGGGAGGGCGAGGATTCACATCACAAAGCCCAGGGCTGAGGGATGGGGGGAGTGGAGGGGGGGGGCAAAGCCCAGGGCTGAGGGATGGGTGGGGGGGTGCCAGGGCTGAGGGATGGGCAGGGGGAGGGGGACCAGCCAGGGCTGAGGGACGGGCGGGGATGGGCAGAGGGAGGCAGGGCCAGCGGGGCGGGGGGAGGCAGGGCCAGCGGGGCGGGGGGAGGCAGGGCCAGCGGAGACTGACAGGCTGAGTGAAGCCGGCCGTGGGGATCATCCCTTGGAGCTCAGGCTTCATCATGGAAGCAAGCAGGCCACCAGACAGGGAGACACACGGTCTGTCCCTCAGGCCGGCGGACCTGGGCTGTGCTGTGTGACTTTTACCACTGTGTCCAAGGGAGGGAGGAGGCTTGACCGCGCTGTGAGCACTGTGGCGAGGGGCAGACCTCCCACCCCGGCTTCCTGCAGGAAGAGGAAGGGGCCCGACCCTAAGGTCCCAGTATTCCAGCATGTTCCTTGGCGGGCGGCTCACCAGGCTGGGCTCCCAGGGCAGGATGGCCTGTCCTCTCTGGGCAGGCACCCCGCGGGTGCCCCTCTCCATCCAGTGGCCCAGTCACGATGCACACAGCCTTGGAGTGCTGCCGTGCCATTGCTTCTGGGCTTGCCATTTCCCTGCGTCTTTACAGACGGCTGCGACGTGCGGCAGAGGTAACAAGTCTGCCCCAGCGTCAACAATGCTAATAAATATTAACACAACACAAGCGCCGCGTTTACTGTCACGTGAAGCCAGCTCATTATGCACAGATGAAGCCCAGCGCTGCCCCCTCCATCACCGCGCCGCCGCCGCCGCACAGATGAAGCCCAGCGCTGCCCCCTCCATCACCGCGCTGCCGCCGCCGCGAGGCCGGGCTGGCCTTGCGCTCAGCTGGGGCGGCCCCTCCCACGCAACACCAGCCCCCACAGGCCCGAATCGCCCACCTGGACCACCGGGGCCATCTGGAGTCTGTGAAAGACTCGCGGCCCGACCTGTTTCCCACGTGCGTTGTGACCATGCTGGGGAGACGCCTACCAGCCCGCCTGCAGGTTCCCACCCCCAGACAGCGCAGTCACCCCAACCTCCTCCCCAAAGCTGCAAGGACCAGGGGCAGGGGGCGGGCCCCGGGCGCTCGGGTGCGCCTTCAAAGCTGCCCCGGCCCCTCCAACGGCTGTTTGTGCTGATAAAGGCCTACCACAGACCAGAGCCTCGGTGTGGGGGGCGGAGGCCAGCGTGCAGGTGGCAGGGCCCTGGGGAATGCCCCAGGCCCTGGCACAGGTCCCCTCTGAGCATGCCCACCACTG